AATAGCCGTGTGCCAGGAATAAAAAAAAAGAAAATTCTGTTTTTATTAGTGACTGGAGCGATCTGCGAATGTTAGTGTTTAGGGGTTATCTTGACCTTTTGACTTCAATAGTATTTATTTCGTTGACTTATGACCTTGTACTCCTCAGATATCATTGACCTTTGACTTGTTCAGCATCGATTCCATCGACCTTTGACCTCGTATACCTCTAGTACTATTGACCTTTGACATAGTAACCTGATGCAACTGACCTTTGACCCCTTGCACCTTTGGTACCGTTGACCTTTGACCTAGTAACCTGATACCATTAAACTTTGGCCTTGCACACTTCTGATAAAACTGACCTTTCACCTCACACACTTCTGATACCCTTGACCTTTGACCTCACACATCTGATACCCTTGACCTTTGATCCCACACACTTCTGATACCATTAATCTTTGACCTCATACATTGAACGCTGTGTGGTCGCAACAATGTGTTGTGTTAATTAACTCGCCATTGATTGCACTTACGATAGTTAATTATTTTTTATTACTACACAAAATGTAAACTCTGGGTTATGAGGTCTGTCTACACAAAATGTAAAGTCTGGGTTATGAGGTCTGTCTACACAAAATGTAAAGTCTGGGTTACAAATCCCGACAAGGGTGGAAGGGGGTGCAAATCGAAAGTTTGTCCCGGGCGCCGGGAAGGGTCGCTACGCCTCCGGGGGGGGGGGGGGTGACACCATTAAGTGCCGCACCGGGTAACACCCGACCTCGCTACGCCACTGGCTGTTAACTAATAAATAAGTTTGATTTAAAAAATCAATTGATAAAACCTTATAAAAACAAGCTTCTAATTTCAGTAAAAAACAAAAATCGCATAATTTGCTTTCTTCAGTTATAATAGTAAAATGGTTGGTCGTTCATTAAAATCTGGATACCGCAGTCAGCAGAGATACATTTACTTACAATTTTTGAAAGGCATCGCTCATTTAGAAATAGATCAGGATTGAGTTACAAGATTTGACAGACCGACGGACAGACAGACAGACAAAATGACAGACCGACAGACTGACAGACTGACAGACCGACAGACTGACAGACCGAAACACTGACAAAATGACAGACCGACAGACTGACAGACTGACACACTGACAGACTTACAGATCGACACACTGACATAATAGAACGACACTGACCTGAGAAAAATCTAGAATAAAATGTGTCAGTTGTCTGGTTCAAGGTTACCGAAGTAATTTTGACTGAACTTTAAGTCCTTTTTGTTTCCTATGGGTACATCTACATTTTCCGCATTTAAAAAACGGACAAAATAGACAGACATATATGTCTGTAAATATGTCGCAATATGACCTTCAGCTGTCCTGCATATTAAATCACCCAACGACGTATATGTGACCTTGCTCTACCCGCATCTACGCTAATAAAAACCTTTAAATCCAATTTGTGGTCAATGCTAACAGGATGGGACCAGAGCTATTGTGGATTAGAGGTGGGACCACAGCTATTGTGAATTAGAGATGGGACCACAGCTATTGTGAATTAGAGATGGGACCACAGCTATTGTGAATTAGAGATGGGACCACAGCTATTGTATTGTGGATTAGAGGTGGGACCACAGCTATTGTGAATTAGAGATGAGACCACAGCTATTGTGAATTAGAGATGAGACCACAGCTATTGTATTGTGGATTAGAGGTGGGACCTATTCCAACCCAGCATCAAACTGTTACACTTCCAATTATCTATCTTTAATGGAAATATTTTATACACTGCTAGACTGGTGAACTTTATAAACTTGTGTTAGATGACGTAACGCTTGGTCAGTGCAAGCTATTATATTAGCCTCATTGGATTCACTAGTCTCACTTATTGGTGATTCTCTGATCAGTTCACTATTCTCACATGTAAGCGATTCTCTGATCAGTTCACTATTCTCACATATAAGCGATTCTCTGATCAGTTCACTATTCTCACATGTAAGCGATTCTCTGATGAGTTCACTATTCTCACATGTAAGCGATTCTCTGATGGATTAACCAACGCAAGGGTTTATGTACACGCCTGCACATTGCGTCATCATTAATACAACTTGTTGCCACGTGTAAATAATATACTCACTAGGTAACTACTCAACCCTCCTGAGAAGGCCAAACGTCAACCCTCCCATTGAGTGGGGTTGGCTACTCAACCCTCCAATTGACTGGGGTTGGCTACTCAACCCTCCTATTGAGTGAGGTTGGCTACTCATCCTCCCTGAGAAGGCCAAACGTCAACCCTCCCATTGATTTTAGTTTCTTCTCCTCATCGCCCAGTTCTTGTTTCGTTTCATCACCAGCTCACGTGGTAACTCTAGGCTCGTGGGGGGGGGGGGGGGAGCGACTCGGGAGGGGGGTAGATGAGGGAGTGGGTGCCCCGACCGAATCAGCAAGCCAGATTAGGGCGGATCTGTGCGGCAGAAAAATCTACGATATAAGCCGAATCTAAATCAATAGAATAGTTAGGACGAATGTGATTTCCTTCACAATGCTGTGGGACCGCTGCATGTGCCTAGTGCGGCACTATCAGCTGAAGGAATACATTCGGTGACATGTCAAGTATATCTGCTTACATTCACTCTGACATGTAGCATATTTAAACAATATGACCTGAACAATGGACAGTTTACATCGATCTGTTGAAATAAGCTAACTATGAAATGTAATGGGACTGTGTGGTCGTGTAGTAGAGCGTTTATCTACGAGCTGTATTATATATGCTGAGTTCAAGAACCGTATGGACTTCTGAATCTCCTATATGGATAGGCGGGTTTGACAGGGTGATTTTACTAAGGTGTATGTAGATTTACTAAACAATAGGGGTCGTCCATAAATGACGTCACACTTATTGGGAGAAAGGGGGTCCGTAATTTAGTGACGGTGTGTGATGAAGGGGAGGGGGGGTTCAGATGGTGTGTGTGGCTGAGGTGTGACGTCATTTTAGGAGGGGGGGGGGGCTAACTTTTTGTGACGATGTGTGACAGAGGGGAGTGGGGAGGTAAAAATCGTCAAAAAAAGCATGACGTCATTTACGGATGACCCCCCATACGCGCTAACTAGGGAATATAATTTTCATGAAAGTAAATCACTTAGAAGAAAGTTTGCCTTAACCAGAACCGGATTAGATGCAAGAAGCCATGGTTTCTGGGATACATGACGTCATATTGAGTGGGTGTGTCAATGCCGGGGTTATTTTTCATCCCCCCCCCCTCTCCATGTTGTCTTTTCACCGCGTGTATCACGTGACACGACGGGTAGAGGTGAAGATGGGTGGGGGTGGGGGGAGCTACCACGTGATGGATTGCTTTTTGATTGAATGTCATGGGGCGGCATGGGATATGAGAGAATGTCGTTAGGTGTAGGATTGAGATAACCAACTACTAGAGATGGAGATTTGGTGGGGGGGGGGGGGGCGGGGGAGGAGATAAGCTGTTTTAAAGACACGAACGTTCATTCACTTTGATCAATATTGTTTCTAGAGTTGAGAATTTTTTTACAATTAATATATTTTTGGTATTTGGAGCTGTTGTTGCTTTTTCACTAGGTACACACGTATTTTCTCCAGGTATGTTTGCCTGTTAGAATACAATAAATACAATTTCCCAGCTAGAATTAAGTATTGTGTTCTCTTTATCAAAAGATAACATACAGTATTTTTTCCAGACTTTTTTCTCCTTTAGGGGGGGGGGGGGGCGGCATTTGAATTTTTCGGGGGGGGGGGGGTAGACTTTCTTCGGGGAGGGGGGGGGGGGGCGGACACTGTTAAAAGTATATATTTTCTATATAAATTATATAAATTTCATTTCGTTCGGGGGGGGGGGGGGTAGAATTTTTTCGCCCCCCCCCCCCCCCCCGAAGAGATGCCTGGAAGAAACTCTGATAACATACTCTACTGTAAGACGGGCATCTCCTCATAACACACCATATTCCCTAGCCATACAGGACACGTCACATAACACACGCCACACACCACACACCACACCATACACCACACGCCACACGCCACACAAAACTCCCCAGCTGTGCTGTAAACTCTGGGCCAGACGTCACGTCCTGTTTGGAACTGTGACGTCACACAAACGTGACCTATCTCAGTGACTGAAACTTTAATATAAGCTCGGACGCTGGCACAAACCTGAACTAAGTATTGATTCACCGTTGTCCAAATGGAAATTAAAGTTTGGGGGCTAGGTGGGGGGGGGGGGGGGACGGGGGGTTAGGAGTGTCTTGGACTATACATAAGGCCACAGGTACAATAGACATGAAGAATATATTATCTCACACACGCTATCAAACGCTCAATTTTATATGTGTGTGGGAGAATATGTGAGGGAGAATGTGAGTTAGGGGGTGGGGTTTTCTTAAATATTATTTTTTTACTCGTGTGAGTTGGTTATGAGTCGGTAAGTTCAAACATATGTTTTTGTTAATGTGAGATTCTACAAATGTCTGTGCATATGTATGTTTGTTTTTAGTTGTGTGTTTTTCAACTTGTGCGTGCATAAGCTATTATTTTCTCTATACAATTGCGTGTTTGCCTTTATTGATGAGTGAGTGTGTTTATTCGTATGAGTATGTGTGTGTATGAATGTGTGCGTGTTTGCCTACATGTATGCGTGAGTGTGTGTATCCGTTTATCTCTGTCTGTGTGTGTGTGCGTGTGTATTTGTGTAACAACGAAAATCGCACTAACACAATTAGCAATTCTAGAAAAATGAAACACTGTATTTCGTTACAATAGCTAAAACGCCCTATACTTTAGATTACTTTAGAACATTAAAAACTGATTTAGTTACTTGAGAACGTCCATCCTTGACACCCTATACTTTAGATCACCTACACGTTGATAAATTACAGCAAAAGTCTAAAGCACTATATGGAAAAGCCCAGGACACTGTGTAATAAATGACCCAAGGGGCGGCAACTAAAGCAGGGGAGGTAATGAAAAGTTTCTTACCTCCGACAAGTAAAAATCCAATTTGGGAGCTGGTGAGTAACCTTTTCATGTACGCCGAGATATCCATGTGTAATCATAGTCCCACGCGCGCCAGACAGATGTAGACCACTGGTGGACCAGTGCGATGGACCACGATGTAGACCACTGGTGAACCAGTGCGATGGACCACGATGTAGACCACTGGTGGACCAGTGCGATGGACCACGATGTAGACCACTGGGGATGGACCACGATGTAGACCACTGGTGGACCAGTGCGATGGACCACAATGTAGACCACTGGTGATGGACCACGATGTAGACCACTAGTGGACCAGTGCGATGGACCACGATGTAGACCACTAGTGGACCAGTGCGATGGACTACGGCGATTGTCCGTTGATGATGATTTGACTACCCTGGTCTGATAATTGATTTCCTTTATTGTCTCCCGGCCTGGTGAATACACTAGTATTTTATATCCGAAAAAATCAATACACCACTATATCCGGTCACGTGGTCAAGACAAGACCCCCCGTCGGTCACAGAAACTTCTAGACGGTGAGCAGTTTCTGTAGCAACCCACTGACGTGAGTACAGAAAGACTTCAACAGTATGCACGTGCATCCGCCTCGAACTGAAGCTCAGGTCAACATCTGCTGGCGTCAACATCAAGTCAACATCGCGATGTCAACATCGGCGCCACAGGTGTAAGGTCTATTATTTTATTTAAACGGCTAAGCCTTTGATTAATTGATCACCAAGTTAAATTCAATCGATTTTCATACCGGTTATAAATATTTCCATTCAGCTGCTCGTATCAGCTGCTGACTTCAATAACGTCCTTAGTTCCCTTCTTGATGCCATAGAGAGAAAATTTAAAAACACTCATTGAATGGCGGATTAATTTCTCCAATACTTTCAGCACACGTGCGCGAAATGCCACCTTGAAATGAGCAGACGTCACCCAGGCCATAAATTACCATTCATCTCGGTAAAATTTGCATGTGGGGGTGAGGGGGTGGGTGGGGGGAACACTTCAATCGACGTTTCGTCACGCTTCACTGCACTAACACAACAGATGAAAGAAACACGTTTCAACTTTTTTGAAACATCCGCCGGTTGTTGAAATAAAAAACAAGGATATTTTCGTCACGTTTAAGTGCCTACACTAACACATCACGTTTTGTTAATTGAACCGTCGCACGAGTTAACCACTTAATTAATTTGTTTTATTATGGTCGGTTAAGATTAATAAATCTCCGAAGTTTACAAATCCATGCCGTTAAAATCGATGAAATCAGTTGACGTCACAGTTAATCAAAACACAGATCTGTTTGTTGACGAAAAAAAAATACAACAAATTTGTAGTTTGTTGTTGTACATGTCCCCCACGTGGCACGTGACGATCCCTCGTCTGCTGCAATAAACGGGTTAAGCATTAACTCACCTGCACGGCGCGTGATACGGCATCGCGCGCGCAGCAGTTAAGGGGAGGTAAGTGTAGAATAAACGGCGCCACTCGCTAGCTGGGAGATTGTCATTTACTGGGGGAACTTTCACGACGTTCAGCGGTGGCGGAGTATTCTGGCTAGACACATACACATAGCAGTTGAGTTAGTGCAGTCACATACACATAGCAGTAGAGTTAGTGCAACTAGACACATACACATAGCAGTAGAGTTAGTGCAGTCACATACACATAGCAGTAGAGTTAGTGCAGTCACATAATACACATAGCAGTAGAGTTAGTGCAGTCACATACACATAGCAGTAGAGTTAGTGCAGTCACATACACATAGCAGTAGAGTTAGTGCAGTCACATACACATAGCAGTAGAGTTAGTGCAGTCACATACACATAGCAGTTGAATTGGTGCAGTCACATACACATAGCAGTTGAGTTGGTGCAGTCACATACACATAGCAGTTGAGTTGGTGCAGTCACATAATACACATAGCAGTTGAATTGGTGCAGTCACATACACATAGCAGTTGAGTTGGTGCAGTCACATACACATAGCAGTTGAGTTGGTGCAACTAGACACATACACATAGCAGTAGAGTTAGTGCAGTCACATACACATAGCAGTAGAGTTAGTGCAGTCACATAATACACATAGCAGTAGAGTTAGTGCAGTCACATACACATAGCAGTTGAGTTGGTGCAACTAGACACATACACATAGCAGTAGAGTTAGTGCAGTCACATACACATAGCAGTAGAGTTAGTGCAGTCACATAATACACATAGCAGTAGAGTTAGTGCAGTCACATACACATAGCAGTTGAGTTAGTGCAACTAGACACATACACATAGCAGTAGAGTTAGTGCAGTCACATACACATAGCAGTAGAGTTAGTGCAGTCACATACACATAGCAGTAGAGTTAGTGCAGTCACATACACATAGCAGTAGAGTTAGTGCAGTCACATACACATAGCAGTAGAGTTAGTGCAGTCACATACACATAGCAGTTGAATTGGTGCAGTCACATACACATAGCAGTTGAGTTGGTGCAGTCACATACACATAGCAGTTGAGTTGGTGCAGTCACATAATACACATAGCAGTTGAATTGGTGCAGTCACATACACATAGCAGTTGAGTTGGTGCAGTCACATACACATAGCAGTTGAGTTGGTGCAGTCACATAATACACATAGCAGTAGAGTTGGTGCAGTCACATACACATAGCAGTAGAGTTGGTGCAGTCACATACACATAGCAGTAGAGTTAGTGCAGTCACATACACATAGCAGTAGAGTTAGTGCAACTAGACACATACACATAGCAGTAGAGTTAGTGCAGTCACATACACATAGCAGTAGAGTTGGTGCAGTCACATACACATAGCAGTAGAGTTAGTGCAGTCACATACACATAGCAGTAGAGTTAGTGCAACTAGACACATACACATAGCAGTAGAGTTAGTGCAGTCACATACACATAGCAGTAGAGTTAGTGCAGTCACATACACATAGCAGTAGAGTTGGTGCAGTCACATACACATAGCAGTAGAGTTAGTGCAGTCACATACACATAGCAGTAGAGTTAGTGCAACTAGACACATACACATAGCAGTAGAGTTAGTGCAGTCACATACACATAGCAGTAGAGTTAGTGCAGTCACATACACATAGCAGTAGAGTTAGTGCAGTCACATACACATAGCAGTAGAGTTAGTGCAGTCACATACACATAGCAGTTGAGTTGGTGCAGTCACTTACACATAGCAGTAGAGTTAGTGCAGTCACATACACATAGCAGTAGAGTTAGTGCAGTCACATACACATAGCAGTTGAATTGGTGCAGTCACATACACATAGCAGTTGAATTGGTGCAGTCACATACACATAGCAGTTGAATTGGTGCAGTCACATACACATAGCAGTTGAATTGGTGCAATTAGTCTGTGATGTCATGCATGTCCCTGGTATTTTGGAAACATTTATGTCCTTCATACAAATACATGTCCTTCGTGGTGTTCTGCCAAACATATGTTACAGACGTAATAATAACTTCTGACACATTTAATGTGCAGTTTTCATTTTTTCCTAAAGCCAGTCACCTGGTGAATACATTTGGGCCAAAGTCACTAATGAGCTCCCACCTGTAGCACCTCATTAATTATGCATATTGTACAAAAATCAATCAAGCCCAAGGTGGCGTAACGCTAGTCATTCAGAACACAAACCCCATCCACAAACCCCATCCACAACCCCATCCACAAACCCATCCACAACCCCATCCACAAACCCCATCCACAACCCCATCCACAAACCCCGTCCACAACCCCATCCAGAAACCCCATCCAGAAACCCCATCCACAAACCCCATCCACAAACCCCATCCACAAACCCCATCCACAAACCCCATACACAAACCCCATACACAAACCCTATCCACAACCCCATACACAAACCCTATCCACAACCCCATCCACAAACCCCATTCACCATCCACCTTTCTGCACCTTCTTCTAGACCACGTTGACACCCAGCAGGAGTTTATTAATTAAGTATTTATCCCCCCAGTCAATCATGCGTTACTGGCACCCTCAGTCAATCAAGCGTTACTGGCACAATACTCAGCTGTCTTAAGCAAATACAGACGACGTTCCAGACAATCAGATACAAAATTCATCATCCCTGTTAACCTTCACCCCATTCCAGTTTATTATCCGCCCTCCCCCCCCCCTAGCCATCCCCACTCGCAGTGTACTGTCTAATTTGCCCATTCCCACTCGCAGTATACCGTCTAAATTCCCCATTCCCTCTCTACACGTTCTGGTTGTAGTACCATGTCTCAGTTAAAATCCCTAATCTCCAAGTCTTCCATTCCCTTTCTGAACTCCGCATTTCTCACTCCCCACTCTCCATTACCCATTCCCCACTCACCATTCCCCATTCACCATTCCCAACTCACCATTCCCCATTCCCCATTCCACACCCACCATTCCCCATTCCCAACTCACCATTCCCCATTCCCAATTCCAAACTCACCATTCCCCATTCAACATTCCCAACTCACCATTCCCCATTCCCCATTCCCAACTCACCATTCCCCATTCCCCGCTCACCATTCCCCATTCCCAACTCACCATTCCCCATTCCCCATTCCCAACTCACCATTCCCCATTCCCCATTCCACACCCACCATTCCCCATTCCCAACTCACCATTCCCCATTCCCAATTCCCAACTCACCATTCCCATTCCCCATTCCCAACTCACCATTCCCCATTCCCCACTCACCATTATCCATTTCCACTCACCATTCTCTATTCCCCATTCGAGTTTAGCATCTCTACGCCCAATCGGTCCTCACACAAAATTGCTTTTTAAATTTTTTTATTATCCACCCCACACTTTCTATTCCCCACCCACCCCCAACAACCCACCACCTACCACCCACATCCTACCACCCATTCATCATCTCCACACAACTACTTACCCCACTCCCCACACCGCACTGAGTACAACTCATCCAAATTGTTTGTTCTACCTCAGTGATTGCACATTTTTTCTCTGAAATCTACGCCTGCACTCTCTGAGACCTGAACGAGGAAATAGGACATGCCACTGTGGTTGTTGACGTGGTGTCTATCTAGGCCGGTGTCAGGGTTTCTGTCAGGCGGGGGTAGGGGACAACTCCCTCCCCGTGGAGAACGAACCCCTCCCCCAAAACACAAACAC